TCTCTGGGTACAGGACATCCACCACATCTCTGGGTAACCCGTTCCAGTGCCTCACCACCCTTAGTGCAAAAGACTTTTTCCTTATATCCTATATCTACCCTCTTTAAGCTTGAAGCTATCCAAATATAACCCGAATCGCAATCACAGCTTTATCTGTGCTGGCTGTGGTTTGCAGACATATGCTCTGATGTTCTGATGCTCAACTTATACTTCTTTCCCACAACTCTTTGGGAAGCTGTTTCATAGCTGTTTCGTAGAATTATAGAATCATAGAATTACAGAATCATAGAATCATAGAATGGCCTGAATTGGAAGGGACCTCAAAGCCCACCCAGCCCTGACCTCATGCCATGGGCAGGGCTGCCACCCACCCGTTCAGCTGCCCAGGGCCTCATCCAACCTGGCCTTGAGCACCTCCAGGGATGGGGCACCCACAAATCTTTTCTGTACAGCTGTGCCAGGGCTTCACCGCCCTCTGTTTATTGTCATTCTGCTACCACTCCTAGCAAATCAAAATGGCACTGGTTGCTTATTAACAAGAGCTAATCTCTCTTCCTGTGTGAATGCATGCACTGTAATAATATTCCTTGGTCGCTGCATGTGCAGGCAATAAAAATGAAATGCACTCTTCAGTGTCTAACTCTTTGCTAGGAAAATATCTCAATCATGAATCCCATTTTAGATTTTTTAATTAATTCAAACACATCTCAGCTAAGCCCTTTAATATGCCTCCAGTACATCCTCCCCTCTGATATAAATATCTTTAACATTATAAGAATAGTATTAAGACCAAATGAGGAAAGCACAGTGAATATCAAAATTAATTACCTTAAATTCTGTTCTTTATATCAGTTATGCTCTTTTCACAGGACAAAATTCTTTGTTTCTACCACTAGAAACATGCCAAAATGCTTAACATTCCTTTAAGGAGAGTGAAGTTATGCTACGAAATGTTAATTAAACTGACATGGATGTAAATTTTAAAAGTACAGAAGAACAGTTCACAAAAGGGATTGGTAGATACAGTGATTAGACCACCAAAAAAATAAAAAAATAAAAAAAAAATAGAAGTTTCCACCACACCATTCTCAATGTAGAATTTATCTGATACTGCTGAGAAATATGCATTTAAATAAAAATGCAATTTAGGAATGCAAAATTATTGACATTGTTTATTACCTGTATTGTGATTTTCCATGTGTATTTCTATTACCACAAATCTAACGAGAAGGAGGTGGTTGTTCAGGGAAGCTGACTGTAACTGCAGTTTTGGTCAGCTCTTTGTATTTGTAGTTGAGATCTGTTCTTCCTGAAATTGCATAAAAAATAGTTAAAATGTTTCTATGGCTTGATGCATATGGAACAGGCTACCCAGAGAGGCTGTGAAATCTCCTTATTTGAAGATATTCAACATTCTCCTGGAGATTTTCCTGTGCAACCCACTGTAGAGCACTGTGTGGTCAGCAGGGCTGGACTAGATGGTCTCCAGAGGTCCCTTCCAACCCCTACCATTCTGTGATTCTGTGCTATCAGGTAATGACTTGATCTCCACCAAAGAAATTAGTTGCACTGCCATCCCTCTTCGACTTTTCTTTCCAAGCTTTATGAGCTGTGAATTTTGTCATGACTTTACAATACTGTATGTCTCGCTTTTATTCAAACAATTGCTCTCTATACAATACTGTACAGTCTCACAGTTTGAGAAACTTCATCACATTTTCATCAAGACCACATATGATGTATTTACTGCCCAAATCTGGCATTTCCATTGTCTTGATTCACTCTCCCCAGCTACAGGAGTTAAGCTATCAAATTGGCCCCCTTTAAAAACAAAACAATCAAACAATTTTGGTAAGACTCAGTTTAGGCTAACAAACTGATCAGTTTACTTTTAATTCTGAGACCACTGCATAACATCTAGACCCGTGGAGAGCCTGAGGCTACACTACCAACACAGTATCAACACAGAAACGCTCTTAAACAGCTCTCATTTTGTCTCCCAGCAACCTCCTTCATCCCTCCATTTATTTTTCCCGTTGCTGAGAAACACCTTTCTGAAAGCCCTTTTCCTGCTTCCTCCTTGGAACAGTGTCAAAGTGGCACCTCCCCACCTCCTCACCAGTGAGTTCTTATTCCCACATGCTAAGAACATCAGAGACAAAACTGGGAAGAATGGTTTGCAGAAGAGCTGGTTGAAGCAGATGTTCCTCCTGCCTTTCATAGCGCTGGTGATGCTGGGTGGAAGAGGTTTGGGTTTGCAGGTTGCTGTTCTTTCAAAGCTGCTTCATCAAATAAATGTATCTGGGTTGCATAAGGTCTGTCCTTCCTCAGTTGTGTTCCAGTTTGCTGAGTCATTTTAATGTGATTTTGCACTATTTGGCCAAACAAGTTCATATGACAGAGAATTGTAAGACAAACTCAGCTACTGGAACTAATGCCGTTTAACATGGTTACAATTTGCTTCAGTAGCTCAGCATACCACTATTTATATTTGCATGAGAAGAAAGCTCACACTGAGGATGAGCAAGCACAAACAGAATGCCCTTGGGGCACAATCAAAAGCATGCTTCCTGCAACTTACTGGCTTATCAAGCTTTAATGATGTCCCAAGACGATTTGATTTTGTTGCATGCTGGAGATAAGCTAATCTTCCAGATAACAAACATTCAGCAACGCATAACGAAATACAAGGTGTCATGATGATGTAACACAACCAGGGCTCCTTCTTTCAGAGTCCCGAGGAGGTGAAAATCCACTCTTTACCCAAATCCAGCATCCTACAGCGCCTTGCTGCATTCAGAGACAACACTCAGCAGCTCGGCTGAGCACTGATAAGCCGGGCTGCGAGTGAGAGGCAGCGCACTGTTACTGCAGTGTTTGACACGGGCCCCTCTGAGCGTCGGTTGCCTCAGCCTGAGCCAAACCTCCCCTAGGCCTCCTTGATGACGACCACGGAGAGGGACCCCATCTTGTGGACGTTTCCTGGAGTACGCACGGCGGTAGCAGGCGCCGTGCTCGTAAAGCAGCGCTGTAAAGCCAGCTCCCGTAGCCATCACCGGGACCGCTCCGTGTACTAAAAGCACCTCCTTTCTCTTGGGCTACTCCTGCCTGTCCTGCAGGTGTGAGGAGCCCAGCCTAAATTTCTGAAGACCAGGAGAGAAGCTTCTGCGCTGCCTGCAAGCTCCATCCTTGTGCTCAGGGGAGGGGAGGATGAGGGCAGCCGGGGATGAACGGAGACGAGCGGAACGGGTCAGAGTGCATCGGCTGCAGGGATCCGGGGCACTGGGGGGAGAGGGGGTAAGTAAGCTGTGAGGGGTCTGGAGCACTGCTCTTATGGGGAGCAGCTGAGAGGACTGGGATTGTTCAGTCTGGAAAAGCAGGAGCTCAGAGAAGATCTTATCACATTCTACAACTGCCAGAAAGGAGCTTGTAGCAAGATGGGGTTGGCTTCTTTTCTCAAGTAACAGGGATAGAATGACAGATAAAGGCCTTCAGTTGCACCAGAGGAGGTTCAGGTTGGTTGTTAGGAAAAATTATTCTCAGAAAGAGTGGTGAGGCATCGGAACAGGCTGCCTAGGAAGGCAGTGGAGTCACCGTCCTTGGAGGTGTTCAAAAAATGTGTAGATGTGGCACTGAGGGATATGGGTTAGTGGGCATTGTGGTTAATGGTTGGACTGGATGATCTTAGCGGTCTTTTCCAATGTTTCCTTCTCTCCTGCAGCTATTGAATGTTCTCCATTGCTTCCCATCTTTGCTTATCATCTCTTTGGCAATACCTCCATTGATACAGCTGCCCAAAATGCAAGATGGACACATTGACAGCAGACAGAAAAGCAAGCATATTTTGGTCAACTCAACCCAAGAGCTGAGCTTCATGCCACTTATAGCATCTCTGACTACACACCTTGTAGCAATATGTTCTAACAAATTCATCTTGAGGTATGCAGACAAATGGCACACATTACAGTTAGGTCGAGAGCACAGCAATCTGTGAAACTGCCAGACCTTCTTGCTATCAGAGGGAAAGTAATATCCATGCAGATGGTGGCCTTGATTTATGGACCTTGTTAAGGTAATCATATGAGAAACTAGCAGATGTTGTAGAAAATAAAATAAGAAGAGATGAAGACTTTGAGGATCTCTGAATAAGCACAAACTACCCAGTTATTTCCAAGGCAGTTAAATTCAAAATACCCCAAAAAAAAGGTCATCTGATCAGCAAAACCGGAACCAGTGCAGTAAAAGTTAACAGGAATGTTTATTATTGTTTATATTTTTGTTTGTTTGTTTACCTGGTTTACCTGTTGGTCAGCCCTGTCCCTGATCATTGTATCTTGGAGCAGCACACTGAACTCACTGTTTCCACAATATTCATGCCTGACTTACTTTCACAGTTGGGAGGGGCTGTCTATGTTTTCCCTTGATGTCAATGAAGCAATACTGGAAATGCTTTTTTTAACAGAGCTAATGGAATTCCTGGAGGTTGCCAAACAGCATCATTCCCTCCTAAGTCCTTAACACAGCCAACTGTTCATTTCATGAATGCGAATTTTGATCACTACAGCATCACTATCTCTGAGACAAATGCATTGTAGGTAATAAAAATATTCTTCACGCAAACTTAGGGTGGTTCTATTCTAATACCTGCAACTAAGAATCCTTATACCAAAATAAAACCTGAAAATACTCAGGTAATGTCAGATTGAAAAGTCATACCCTTTAGGACACATGAATGGCAAAACAGTTTCATTACTGTTGATGTCATAATGTAGAATAATGAAACAAATACAAATCAAGATAAATTCAAACAGTGCTTTAATGCTTAATGGTCCTTCAGTCCAACTTTGAGTTCACAATCTTCTGTAAGCCTTGCAAAAAATAAATTAGTGTAAGTTAAACTGTTTCTGTTCCTTGTTTCTATCCATCTTCCTCTTGACCGTTTTCTTCTCTAAAATTCAATTGAACTCTGATTTTGAAGCCAGTGTTCCTTTATGTTTTTGTCAAATGAATGTCTTGATCCAATCAATCATATCCTTTCTAGCTTCTTCAATATAAGGCTTATCAGCAGGTTTCATATCTTCTGGCTTCAGTTGTGCAAACCCGTGAACCTGTCCAGGATAAACTTTAATTTTATATGGAACTTTACAGTACTGTTTCAACTTCTCATCCAATAAGGTAATCTGTAAAATAAAGCATTTTTCTGTTAGGCTGTGTTTTTTTTAAGTTTGACAAATTTGCCACTAATCACATCTTTGCTCTTTCTCCATAATCACAATTGAAGTGGATTCTGTTATTCAGTACATGAGAAAATCCCTCTTAAGAATGTGAGACTGAAATGGTTTTTGAAAATATGGGTGTGCCTGAGTACCCCCAGCAGCTACTGCTAAGATGGCTTGGTGAATCTTGTTGTAAATGAATAGGTGCACTTCTATTCAGAGGCATAACATGGCTTATAACCTGATTTTAAACTCTGATCTTGAGAGAACATATTCCCCGAGAAAACACAATGCCTAAGTCTTAATAATTCACAGTCCTAAATATTTTCATAAACTTAGTAATAACACTTAAGAAAGCAGTTGCTTTTTCTCATTTTGCTGTACAACAAAAGCAATTGTCATCAGTCTACATCATTAGAAAGTTTTGTCACTGAGCTGACAGTATTTTTTTCCATTCAAGGATGGTCCAAATTCAGTCATCTAACTATCTCTTGTCCCATATATGACTGCAGTATCCAAGTTCTTGAGGTGCTTGGTTCATACAAGTAGGATCTTCCTGCCCAGTTTCACACTCTGCTTGCATAGCCACTGAGAGACCAACAATAGATTTTTACTGCATTTCTCAACTCAAAGAGAAGCTCCAAATAATGTGAGCAAGATATGGGGGAAGTAAGCTGAAATATAAGCAAAACAATCCAGCCTATGTGATTTTTCATATCTGAAAATGGTTCCTGACAGGCTAGGAATTCTCTCTAGGATAGACGAAGAATGGAAAAATAAAAATCATTTCTAATACAACCTACCTGGTCATAAGAAATAGTGTGGTCTTTCTCTCCAAATATAAAAAACGTGGGATTTAGTAAATTGTATCTTTCTTCAGAGTCCCTTATTATTCCTATTTGAGAAAAAGAATGTTAGTGAGGTTATCATTCCTGCAAGATGAATGAAAAATTCTGTGACAAAATTTCTATTTAGGTTTATTTGTTAGATACTTTTTTTACTTGAGGAGAGTTTCTATTCTGGTGGACGAAAAGAGCATTTGGAAAATAGTACATTCTCCCCAAGCACTGAAAAAACATTAGAAAATGTACATGCACAGGAAACACTTTTTTTTCCCCCAATTTACAGTATTCTTATAATGTTGATAGCAATATAGCACATTGCTGAAACAGCCATAATTAAAATTTTCAACTCACCTTTAAGTTGAGTACTTACAGAAAACACTACAAAGCAGTAACTAGACTTACAAACTACATATAATGATGTGAGCTCGTGTAAGTTTTCATTTCTACACTACCATAGAGGGACACCCCAGCGGATAATTGAGGATTTTTCAGCATCAAGTGATGTACTGCCATTCCACCCCAGGAAAACCCAACGATACCAATCTTCTTTGCATCGCATTGTTCCTTTAGATACTTCAAGACAACATCAGCTTCCCTAAGACATATAAACAAAAGAGAACTAAGGGATCTATAGCATAATCAATATTTGACTGCTTAAGAAGTAAATTAAAAGAGATACATGAAATTTTCTGCACCTGCACCTCCAATCACTTAAAACAGAGAGTACATTAAAAAGCAATGGCTTCTATTCTTGGATGGGAGTTAACATTTCTGGTCCTAGTTTAGGGAAGTAGCCATACACAGTTGTAGTGCTTAAATACTTACCTGAATTGTGACCTGCTCCTTTGCTTTCAAAAGAAGCATTTTTTCACTGAATCACTTTGTTTAGGACAGGACAACTAAAGACAAGACATATCTGCAAGCAGAACAACATCTTGCATTATGGAATGTGGGAATAGATGAGCTTGAATGCGTTATCTCTACTGAGTCTACCTATTTAGATAAGGAATTATCTCGAGTGTGTCATTCCTGTTGCATGAGTTAATAATATCCAACCAAGCCACATACAAAATTACGATATTAAATAATAATTACTCAACATTAATATATCACCAGCTACAATGTTTTCAAAAATGAGTATTGCATGAGGTATAATGAATTAAATACAAAATATTGTATAGATCAGAGCAGGTCACTTTTTAAATTAATTTTTTAAATTAATTTTTTATTACTAACTTCATGGGGTTAATGTTTTTATCTTTTTCATTATCTACAAAATTTTAAGTGAATTTTAAATGCAGACTGCGTACACTAATAACCGTATTTTCAAGTATTAGGTATATTAGTATGTCTATCACAAATGTGGATAGTCTGACAAAAAAGCAGTATGAAAGTGCCATGATCAGCAGATCATGTTCAAGGCTATATGAGCAGCATGTTATGAATGAATGAGTTCTTTCAGCTCTGGTTTATTTGAGATAGTATAACATAAGTCATGAGTATGTGGGATTCCTGGTGCTCTGAGAGATCTTAAGGGCAGCTACAAGTCAACGCTTAGTAGACAACACAGCTATGTTCTTCAGGTGTTCAATGGTTAAGACAGTTGTCTGGAGTAGGAATTCTTATAGGTATTAGTCGTTTCTCTTTTCCAAAATTTCAGTCACAAATCTGCAACTGTAGAGTCAAAAGCTTTGCTGAGAGATGTTGGTTGGGCCACGAGTGCTGCAGGGGCCAAATAAACACTTTGTGGCTTACAAGATGATAGCTGAGTAATAGGGTGTCACTGTCTATTGTTCTCTGAAGTTTCAGGTTGTGGTAACAGATACTGAAGAAGCAGTAATGCCTGCCTTAATTTAAGGAAGCTTTTTTTTTATACTGGCTTTGCTAGGATCTACAGATAGTGGCCACTCCACATATTGAGAAAAATAGCATAGTTGATCAGACAAGTATTTGGGCAAATTCTGCAAATTCTGACCTAGTACTGCTCAGGAGATTATCAGCTATCTATCATTTACAAGGGAGAAAGAAAGATGGGCAAGTGACAACTGGTAGATAGCATGTGTACTTGTGGAAGAGTTTTCCTCCTTATCCTAAGGACCTGGAAGCAGTATCCATACTAATAAGTGAGAGTTCTAGGTGTTTCATAGCCTGTGTGACACTATTTATGGGCCTGTGCAGCCAGTGTGACATAGTTAGAAAAGGGTCTGTGAGGAGGGGACAATAAGCAGCATGATAGATGGAGCAGATGACCATTTCCAAATCCCAGGGTACTGCTTGGGACCACAGAAGAACCACGCAGAATAAAGTAACTGTGTGCATGCAGCCAGCTTGCCCTGCTGTGAGGGTCACTTTAAACATTTCAGATATGTACAGTTTCCCCTTGTTTGCAAAATGCTTTTTAAAATGCAAGCACAGTTATGCATCCTACCTGTCTACTTTCATAGGGTCATGTTCTTTCATCCAGTCAGCAAAGTCATGCCAGTGATTTGTAGTTTTCCAGGGGTCCTTCCCCTTGAAGAAGTCTGGGCAGATGGTTCTGTGTAAGACATGGAAACAAATCAACTTTTATGTCCAGGTGGGGAGAATCTGTGAATATCTAAATGACTTTTAATGTCTTTTCTACTCCAGGGTGTACACCTACACAGTTATCATCTGAATCATATTCTACTTATCCTGTTCTGGCAATCAGCAAAGCTAAAATTATGTGTCTTGCTATGGAAAAAAAAAAAAAAACCACATGCAAATAAACTCTCCTACTTTCCTTAGACACACTACAAAAGTAAAGGAATAAAGCAACCCTCCTGATTCCAAATCAATGGTTATTTACCTCTTTGCTAGTAAAATTTAAAGCAACCCCTTGCTGCTGTATGAACTCTGAAAGGCTTGGTTTGAAAAGCTTACACAATTTAAAAGTTCATACTAATGTTTGGAGTTTTTTTAAAATCTTTTAATTATCCACATTGCCACATGAGCACAAACACTGCCACTTCATCACATTCCTTGCAGCTTTTTGCTCAGATAGCTATTCTTGACTGATCAGTTTTGGTACCTTTGGTGGCCACGAAGTGCTATATGTGTGTGGAAAACATACCCAGTGCTTAGCTTTGGGCCTGGTGATCTATCAGTGCATTGATTAAGAGGAGAATAGGAATGATAAGTGCTTACATGTATCCATGACCTGCAATTAAATCAACTATATATCTATTGTCTGGGAACATCCATCCAAATATATCATGAATCACAATCACAGCTTTGTTTGTGAAATAAGATGGTCTGCAAATGTATGCCTTGATATGCTCAATTTGCACTTCATGTCCAAGACATCCATATCCAGATCTTTCCCCAGTATTGTACAGGAAAGGATCAGCCATCTGGAAACCTGGGAGAAAAAAAAAAAGAAAAAGTGTGAGAAAGTCAAATTTGTTAGTACAAGATTAGGACAAACAAGGGCAAGTGCAGTCAGCAGAAAGGAGTTCAATAGCTTTGATAAATAACATTGACATCCTTGTCTGAAAGGAGAAAGTAGTAAAATGCAAAAGCCATGCACCAATTCAGAATGGATCTTAGTCTATTATATGTTATTAAACTGAGAATGAAGAGAGACAAAAAGTTGCAGTGTGACTACTCTCATATAGGTCTTGTATCATTTTTGTTTGGCTCCCATGACAGCACTGAGCACTAAAACTGAGCAGTGACAGCTTCAGATGCCACTGTCCTCAGACATGTGGAACAGTGACCAGTTACAGCACTCACACGTGTCTTCACCCAGACTCATAGGCTGGTTTCTCTGAATTGTGTGAGGGGTAAGGACCACAGCACTCAGCTGCTACAGGAAGGCATAGCATTCAGAGCTTCTTGCAGTGCTGGCACCTGCCAGCTAACGTGTGTTTTCAGTAGCAGCTATGGATTGTCACAGTAACTCTGGCATCCCGTGTACCAGGAGCGGTTGGCAACAGGCTGCAGTACTGATTTCTAGATTAGATTGAAGGGCATTGGCTTCATATGCCTTGAAAGGGAATTCAATAAAGCAAGCAACTGCCAGAAGCTGTTCTGACTCTGTGTCTGGAGCATGGGATGGACTCTGCACAAAGTAGAATGTTAATCTTGTAATTAAAAGTAGAATTATAATCCATCTATACAAGGAACCCAATTAGGTTTGCAGGGGCAGAGTCAATAGTAAAATTTCCTAACCACACGCTGACTTTAAAACTGCCCTTGGGAATTCGTACACACACCTACATACACATCATGTCTGCCTCAGTTTCATCATTTCTACATCAGTCCATTATTTCCATTTGAACTGTAACGTACTCTTCAGAAAAGTGTCCAGTTATAGAAAAACAGCAAGTTGTGTTAAAAATGCGTACCTTCTTCAGCTCTCCCTTAACCACAGCAGCAGAGAGCTAGGTTTTGCTGAGTAACAAGAAATTTTGGGTAGGTAATAGAGACACATTGGGAACTATGGTGCATCCAGACTGAAGGACAGAGTTGAGCTGCAGTTTCACAGATGTCTTGTACCCATACTGTACTTTCTTACTTGCATGATTACCACAGGCCAAATAACATTCAGTTTTTTGTACACATTTAATCTGCTGTGTACTTAGAATAATTAACCTTCCTGAAGTATGATCTAGAAACATGCTCTTCCACTGATCATCTTCTGAGCATGCTGTCATTGGGTCAGGCAGGGCCAGCACTGAGTTTGTCTAAATATGCCTTATTACAATAATGAGTACTGGTTGTTTGAGTGTGGTGTAATGATATCTGAACTGGGTGGATGTGGTTTTATTTCGAGAATTGAGATGCTTCAGAAATAGAGATGAGGTAGATGATCATACACAGTGAGATAATTAATTGTGCTGATAACTGAGAGCTGATTACGTTTGCTAATTGTTCTCCCATCTTTTTCAACATCCAAACATCAAGGTTGGTGCTAAAAAGTATGAATTAGTCCAGTCTTCAGGGCTAAAACCTCCACTGCTTTGTCACCAAACCTTTACGGCCTTGTAACATGCATGGGAGAGTATCTCCTAGCTTTCATCCCCCATAACAAGCCTCAAATGCTTGAATGAGTTTTGCTTATGCAAAAGTACTTCCTACCTGTTTTTCTTTTAACCCAGTATGATTGAGGGTGCTGAAGTGCTAGAGATTGCTTGAAGAATTCCCAGGCATTCCCTAAGACAGCTTACACCAGCAGTTCCTGAGACAGCTGCTCAGTCTTACACCCTTAGCAACTTCTGTTCAGAAGGGCACAGCACATAGTGTCCCCTTCAAGGAAACATTTAGGAAGCATTACGCTTTGCAACAGCTGTGAAAGAGCCTACTGCCTGTCTTTTGATTGCTACCCAGAAATTATTTCTTTGGCCTATCTTAATTAATTCCTAGCCAGCTGGTTCTTTTCCAATTACCTGTCTGCGAAGAACTTATATAACTTAAATACTTAACTTAAATAGTCAGCCACACCTGAGCTGCTTAGAAGTCTTTGATGGGATCCTGTTCAGTCAGAAGATTTATTTGTTCCTGCCCGCTTTGTTTCACGCAACGCTGTGCACTGAAGCAACGACCTAGGATATTTCCTACCTGTCCTGTCTCACCTCATTCTCTCTTCCCACCAATTTCATCCATTACACTTTTCCCCTTCCTGCTTTCCCAGTGGCCCAGTTCCAAACGAGGAGAAATATTTAGTATTATCACAAGGTGAAGGTGGTGTCCCTTGAATAGTAGACAGACCCAAACTATTTCACTTGTAGGGAGCAGCAAATCACAGGAGTAAAACCTACCTAGTCTAAACTTTCAATGAAAAAAAAAAAATCTTACTCCAGAAGTGGGGCTAAGAATCTTTCAAAAACAATCAGGTAGTCCTGAAAAGGTGTTCCTGAGGATAGTCCCCACCTTTTAGAAACTGAGTATGAGCACGTGATCTCAAGGTGCTTTGCTTTTTGCCAAGAACTGATGATGCTAAGATTTCCTGGATCCAGTGATAACAGTTTTAACTCCAGCATTAACTTATTTCAATGCTAAATGCTCCAGTGTACCAAACAAGGGAAAGAACAGAAATTAAGAATCATGAAGGCAAAATTAATTATCACGGTCCTCTGACATGATCTTGCTACTGCTGGACATAAACTGGAGACCAGTAATTTCTATAGAAAGCCCCCAGACTGTGGCTGATGTAGGATATCTTCCACAGAGTCAGTCTAGAGTCAAAAGCTTCCAGTGAATGTATTACCTCCCCTTGTGCCAATGCATGATGATGTTTAGAGGAAAAAATATGTTTGGGGTGTCCTTAGAAATACTGCTGTGCTGCAGCAGCAGGCACTCAAAATCTACTTTCCCAAAGCTAAAACCCTCTATCTTCACCTTGTCTGTTCCTTAATACTTATTTTTGTGCATTTTTTTACTGAAGCCAGAAGTCCTTCTATAAATGTGGACCAGTTTGCTATCACTTACCTGGAATACAGGATCCTGAGTTAGCCCAGCTCGCTTCTTCTGTTCAGTGAGAAACCAGCTAGATTTCACTATACACAAAACGAAGAAAACAAGTTCTGCTGATAGTTTTTCTGCTGCTGCTGCTCATCCAGTTTCCAGGTGCTCTTCAGCTCTGCTGCATAGTTTGGGATTGGGAGTAGAGGAGGAGACGCTTGGTACACCAAGTCACTCAGACCGGAAGGGGTGGAGACAGATCATGCAGAGAGGCAGGGTTTGGTACATTCATCAGACTCCAAATCAATTGCCTTTTACTCCATCTTTTATTTATTTATTATCTAAAGAGCTCTGAAAGCAAGACTCACAGCGACACTAAACAACACTTGTTTTTCCATTTCTCTAAAAGTATGTAATTCCTGACAAAATAGAGAAGTTGAATGAGAATCAGCGACTCTTATTATCAGCAGACTTTATTTTTTTGATAAGCTTTCCCTTCTAGTCCTGTACAGAGCAATGAAATGTTCGATGCAGCCATTTAAGACTGCAGAACCTTTGGATCTCCGAAGCTGACACCTAGCTTGTAACACCTAGTGGTGAATTTGTTGATACATTACTAAGTTCTGAGATGCATTTTCTTGTGGTACATTCATGCACTTATGATGTCTTTAATGGAATTTGTGAATTAAGATGAATCTGTTCCGGCGAATTTGCAGCATAAGAAAATTAGTCTCTCCAGCACACAGATGAAATGCATTACAGCCACACCCACATGTATTCCAAACAAGTCTAAAAGTGCTTCAAGTTATTTCTGATTAGACTTGCTTTCAACAAGTTAGAAACATCTGAGTCTGCGTTGGTTGTTATTGATGGTGACTTGTTGAAATTTTCCACTTCCATCGTGGATTTGTATGCGTTAGCTCAGCCCCTGGACAATGTCTACTACAGGTTTAATTTTCTGTGTGTGCATGAGGTTTGTGTACGTATGCATGCTGGGGAAGGCAAATTAAAGAGACAAAGGGGCTCCCTCCTGTACTAAGGACTCCACATCTGCATGCAGTACTCCAGGTGTGGTCTCACCAGCGCAGAGTAGAGGGGCAAGATCACCTTCCTCGCCCTGCTGGCCACACTTCTTCTGATGCAGCCCAGGATACGGTTGGCTTTCTGAGTTGTCAGGGCACACTGCTGGCTCGTGTCCAGCTTGTCATCCACCAGAACCCTCAAGTCTTTTTCAGCAAGACTAGATCCTGAGCTGTACTCTGTATAGTGACCACCATATCTGAGAACTATGTAGAACAGGCTGGATTCAGTTCACCCAAACTTCAGACATTTACAATGAGGATGTCTGTATGGTAGCAAGGTGTCTGCACCCCACACTTTCCATTAAGATGTGTGACTCAAACTTTATGGACGCCTTCTTTACAGTGACATGGGTAGTCCCCTAGACGCCACCAACTGTGATGATCTGATTATCTCTGAGTTTAATGGCAGCTTACCCACCTAGTGGTGGTGTAGATCGCTGTGCTCTGAGCATCAGCAGGCAGGCAAGACGAGTCCCACCTCTGTGTGTTGCATGCAACTCAAAATTAGGGTTTGTCATCTCAGAGAGACAGTATTTTTTACCTGTCCTGTCATGCCTGTTATTAGCTTTGTTCTTGTTTAAGAAACTATTAAAAAGATTGCTAGTGTTGCAAGGGAGGGAGTGGGACTTCACTAAAAAGATCTGATTTTACTTTGATCCTAATGGCATCTGGCTTGAGTCTGTCTAAGCCCCAGGATTTGAGAACACGCAAGCTGCAGCACCCTCTGACAGAAACAGGCCAGCAGAACCAGAAATCTGATCGAAGATGCATACTGACATTCGCAAATGTTTCCTTGTTTTGTGCCCAGCATCTCTTCGGAGTTTGCTAGGGTGAAAGGAGAGCAAAGGACAAATTCTGTTGTAATGCAAGCCTTTACCTGCACACTGTCATTACTTTTGACCCACAAACCATTTAGATCTCCCTTATTTGAAGAGGCTGGCTCTTTCCCCACAAGATAGAATCATCTCTGCAATAGGCTCGCAACTGTGGAGTTAATTCTACACATGCATTCAGACACACAGTAGTTAAATTTGTCCTTCACCTGAAACACACAGCTGCTTGCTTTTTTGGTTTTGTCTGAATTTTTTTTTTTTTTTTTTTTAAGGGTTTGCACCAATATTCCTCTTGGTTTTACAGGAATGAGTGTGGAATAAAACCCCAGAGCAAACCCTCACAGCTGTCAGCTGCATTTTTAGCGGCATAGTAACATAAGAAACAAGATGCTAGGACATGCAAGCCTGTTGTCTGGAGGCAAAATAGCAAGATACTTTCTCCCAGACAACTAATGATACACAGAATCCCAGAAAGGCAAGTAACTCTGCTGGATCTGGTGTGGAGCCTGATTGAGAGACTAATGTACAGGCTTTAACATGTTCCATTTACCTCCACCTGATACAGTATTTGGAGCACTGCTGGTAGCAACAAACATGTCAGAAACTTGAAATCCTTACAAATGTAATATTTACGTGTGAAAGCCCTGCTCAAAGTATGTGTGATGAACGATGATCTTCCTGCTTGCAGCCTCAGCCCCCAGCAGCTGCAAGTGAGAGAGGAAGGATGGCAGGCCTTGTGGGGGGCTGCTAAACGGAGGAGGTGGTGGAGAGGCCTGAAGGAAGCGTGAGAGGAAAGGCTTAGCAAGGTCAACAGCTGCAATACCAGTGAGGACTCTGTGCCCTGCCCAGAGCTGAGACCAGAAGGCACTCCCCTGGGATGTAGGTGGCTACTGGAGGGAGCACTTCCAGGCCCTCTCACACAGTTTCACAGAGCTCATTAGTGGGTTTGTAATTGGAGTTGGGTTTACGGATTTTATTCGTTAGTCTGAGTCTTTTGCATCCATTCTGTATCCAAAGTTATCTACGGAGTCATCACCTGCGAGTGAAAAAAATGCAGCACAAGGACAAAGACCTGGGGGGCTTGTGATGATTGATCTTGTCATGGATAACGCCTCTGAGCTTTGCTCTGATCGTCTTGCTTTCCTTTTGGCTAGCCCAATGTCAGCCCTCAGAGCACACAGCTCCTTTTCTCCCTAAAATCAGATCTATAGCACAGGCCACCAGAACAGAAGAATGATCTGAAAAACAATAATAATAATACTAATAATCTCAGATAGCCACATTCCTCGTTTCCTTGTTGGTGTGTAGAACCAGTGGGCCCAAAATCTTCTGGGTCTCTCACGCTTGGATTGGATTAATTTGGATTAATTTTTACCCAAATTAAATGGTGAATGTTTACTCTCAAATTTCATAGGGGTTAATCATAGTTGGAAAGGACCCACAAGGATCATTGAGTTTCTGTTCAAGCTGTCTGTAACTTCAAGGGAGTCAATAGATCCTCCTAATTTAGTGTCATCCACAAACTTACCTTAGTTCTCTTATTCTGAAAGAGCTTGTGGAAGACTAAAGAGTGAGGCTTGTGAACTTCATGGAAAAATTGTAGGGTGCAAGTTTAATTACACCAAAGCAATAGAGGGAAAATTATTTTAATGTTGCACCTGACATTTACAGAGCCATATTAAAATTACCTAACACTGCCCAGGTGTTTCTAGGTAATTCAGTAGCTCATCACTTGATTAAAAAACACTTCTAATAGATTCTCAGTATAAGGCATGTGATTCCTAACACTAACAATAATGAATTGTGGTAGAAAAATATAGAAAAACTAGTAAATTTTGGAGCAATTACTCCAAAATAGCCATCTAAGACTGGAAGCAGCATTATTGCACTGAATGAGCAGGACAACAGAATTAGGATTATGTGAATAATTACCGGGATTCAGAGTATATTTCCTTCTCTAAAAAATCTGAACTGTTTTTTGTTTGTTTGTTTGTTTTGTTTTGTTTTTGCATGACATAAGAATAAGTCTATTAGGTTTTCTTACCCAACATTTTGTCTTTTCTAAAACTTCAAAAATTTGACACCTAGAAATAGCTGAAAAGTTCTTTTTCTTTTAGTTATCCAGCTTTAGGACTATTACCTTCAAGGACGAATAAACTGTACATCTTCTGAATGAACTTTCAGTCTTTTTTGTCCTAATTTGGATAAGGGAAATATGTTTGCTACCATCACTGATTATCAATAAATTTTTGCCAAAAAAAAAAAAAAAAAAATTGTCTACACTAAATCAGTGCTTAAACTCACACAATTATAATAGAGTGAAAGGGAAAAAAAAATCTTCTTCCATGTCTGCCTGTCTTCAGGAGTCCTGTTTTGCAAACATCTACACATTAGTAATCTTGGCCAGAATCCAGATAGTTTTGGACTGTATCCCAGAGAGCAATATAAACGCCCAAGTACAACATCAAAGCAACAAGTTAAAGGAAAGCAAATATGAGACTTTCTAATTGCATTACAAGGTGATTACCGTACATATATCAGCTCAGAGCGATCAAGGTACTTTAATAAATACATTTCCAGAAAGCACATGTTCTTACCCATTTTTTAAAACAAAATAAGGAACTTTGGACAAGCATAAAGAAATGATATTTCAGTGCAATCCTGTAAACTGTGCTGGGGGTGCACTTCTTCTATAGTCTCTTCCTGTTCAACAAAATTGGTTTCTAAAAGCCCCATAGCATACGCTGAAGTAAACACTGAATGGAAGATATGAGGAAAAAGGTCCCAGGCAGTGGAGGTGCTGGCCCACTCCACCTCCCAGGACACCAATGCACACCATGCACCTGAACCCACTGTGCTATGTGTGGTAGGGAGCTCTGGGAGTGCAGAGTCCAACAAGCTGAAGTCACTGTCCTCCTTACCTATTTCAGAGAGAACATCTGCTGCGTGTGCCATCAAACATCACTGTGTGGAAGAAGTTATCTCCCCCTGCCTACCTGGACAGTTCAAACTTTTTTAAGGGTCATTTGTGTCAAAGTAGCTGCAACAAAGAAGGGTGAAGTCCTAAGCTCACTCTTCCACAGCTTGTTTGTGAACTAAGGAGTTTGAAACTGCAGGTTCAGCAAAAGGAAAAGCATGAGATAAGCAGAAAACTCCGTGACCTTATCAGATTTGCTTTTAAAGGGATGATATGACTGCCTCCAAACCTTTCTAGTCAGAAACAAAAGGACCTCAGGTGCCTGTC